CTCTCTCTCTCTCTCCCCCTTTCCTTTATCTTTCTCTCTCCCTCCTCTTCTGTTGTTCTCGACCCATGGTTGCAATTCTGATAATCTTAATTTAGGTCGCTCCACGCCGGGTGAGATCAAGTCGGCTTTTGACAAGTCGAAGTACTGCAACTTATTCGCAAGTGATCCGTGCATGCTTCGTTGACATGTATACACACGTGACATCAGTGTAGCATTGTCTTACATGAATTGATTCGAAGGCAAGCACAAGATGAGCAGTCTCTATGAAGATTTCCTCACGAGTGTCGGCGACTGGCGAAACAGCATGGTGTATAAGTGTATCAAAAGCACAACTCGCAACGGACGCCGGGGCATCCGTCGCTGGTTGACCCGCACGCAGCTGAACGCACACTTCACAGACCCGAAGATCGTGGACGCCATCATTGTCCGCAAGGAAACGGATGATTACTTGGCTAAAACCGAGATCCGGGACCACCCGGACTGTCCGGGACCGCTGGGTGTTGCCGATTTGTTTGTCTGTGCATTGCATGCTCCTTTACGTCGGCACACATTGACAAAGTTCCCTCGCAGGACTGACTCAGTACCTTGTGCTGGTGGATGAAGAGCATACCGACGAGGATATGGACGAGATCACTGACATGTTCCGAGCGAACGAAGGTGCCCCGCGATCGGGCAGCGAAAGCTCGCACGACGACAGTAACGACAATAACGATGACGACGACGATGATGACACGCCGGCCAAGAAGAGCACCAAGGATCGACGTTTCTCCTTCCCTCTCAGAATCGTTCTCCCTCACCTTCTCTCTCTCTCTCTCTCTGCCTTTTGCTGCACTCTAAATCATGATCTGAAAACCTCTTGAAGCACAGTTCTGTGAGGCCAAGAAAGACAAAAAGGAAAAGCGCGGCAAGGACAAGAACGGCAAGAAGCCGAAGAAGGATCCCAAGAACAAGCGATCCAAGAAGAACAAAGGCAAGAACAACAAGAATAACAACAAGAACGACGAGACCGAGCAGCAGCAGGCAGAGAAGGAGAGGATTAAGAAAGTCAAGCAAGAGGCCAACAAGGCCCGTGCCACTGAAGCAAACCCCGAACTGAATGCAAGATTTCCAATGCATTTGCAGGTCATCAGTAATCTCAGCAGACTCATCCGGGAAACCAACAACAAGATGGCCGATATTGCCGATCTGTTTCGGGCTGAGCAAAAGTATGCCAACAAGACCATCTTAATCTAGCCGAAAGATAACCCGACCCCATCCTGCTTCAATCTGAGGAGCACGAATGTTCAAGCGGCCCTCAAGAAGGATCTGGACGACTGCATCGCCCGGCTGACCGCCTCGCGAGCGGAGTTGCAGTCCGCTGTGGACAGCAGCGAGGAGCTTTTCTTTCGATCGTCAATCTGGGTTGCTATGGAGCTTAAGGCAGGGGTTCTGCATACATCATATCGAAGCTTCCCGTGAGGAGGCTCGCATGCTGTCGACAACTGAGTCCTCCAAGGAGCTGATCACGAAGATGCAGCAGCAAGTCTTTGCATACGGCAAGAAGAAGAGTTTCACGAACAAGTAGGAAGCTCATCCGAGACACAGCCCCCAGGTGGATACTTATCAGGACACTAGTGTAGGTATGTTTAAAGGTCTTGGGCTCTTGCAACAGTAGCTACTTCCGAAACTGCGGGGTGCACATGCTGTGTGGAGTAGATGATGCCATGTCGGCATTGGATGTAAGGTCTACTAAGATTCTACACTACGTGCCCCAGTCGTTTGACTTCTACCCAGTTGCTTACACAACACTAAACTACCGACTAAACCCTAAACCCTGAACCTGGGACATCTAGTGCCGGCTGCGAACCCGCCATTTAGTGTGGCCTGTGCTGTTGGTGCACGAGGGACGGGGAAATCCTGTCGTGTGCTTTAGATGTGCAGACCGTAGTTGGCGGGAAAATCCTGAAGTGAAAGCCGTGCCGGGGAATTCGCGGGCTCTTGCATGCTTAATAACCACCCTGCCCGCAGGTCTACCCTCCAGGACATCATCCAGTCACTCCGAAATGGTGTATGACATGATCGACAATGTTGCTGCTGCAGCCCCTTGCCTTATACCGACTCGTGAATCACAGTCCCTGAATAGATTAGTAACAACCCACCGTCGAAGCCAAAGCCCAACCTCAACAAACCAAATCCTGGAAGGCGAGCTCCATCGGCCGCGAGATGAGAAGTGCTAAATCCTGTGTTTCCGAAACCCAGCTGCACCAACTTGAAATTTATATACCTCCTAATCAATTGAATCGCTCTTGATCAAACCTTAACCGAGGACGCTGCTGGTGCTGTGCTGCCCGCCCCGCTGGTGAAGATGGGATCCTTCTGTGGCAAGAACAATGCCCGTGACTTTGCACGATCTGTTCGGCTTCCCGTGGTGCTTGCTTACGAAAACCCCCGATCACAACCCCTGCAGTATTATATTTAGACCCGAACTACCAACCCGCAGAATCTGAGCCTAGCCAACAAACAAACGCCTTCAGGCCCTGCTTAGGTTTAGGGTTCAGAGGCTTCTGTGGGCTTGCCTACGGTTTATAACCTACATAAGCTCGTGTTGCTTAATCGGGAATTAGGTATCGGGTCGTTTGGCAGGCCCCTGATTACGTGGAAACCATCGTCAAGAAGAAGGCTGATTCGGAGGAAGAAGTACGTGTAAAGATTCCGGTTCTTCTCCCCCACCGCATACTGGCCTATGTGTTTGACGAGCTGGGCCTCCATATCAGTACAGATGCCCTATCCAAGTATTGGAAGCACTGCAAGCGCTACTGTCCCTGGGCTTCCGATCCCTCTTTCGATGGGACTCACATCCCTGTAACACTCTACGGGGACACGGCTCGATATGGGCAAGGCTACGATCAAAGCAAAGTGACAGGTTGCTTTTTGAGTCTTGTTTTGTGGCGGCCTAAGTCTACAAGGATGAGTCAATGGCTGTTGTGGAGCCTGGAGACTGAACTGAGTTTGGGATGGAAAAGCCACAACCCCCTCTACCTTGCTGTTGTGCAATCTTTAAACGCTGCCTTTGACGGCCTGACCCCGGACAATCGACCTCTGGGTAGGAAATTCGCCGTGACACAGATAAAGGGGGATTGGGAATATCACTATCAGACCTGGAGGTTAAAGCGATGGTGGAAGACCAGGTGGTGTTGTTGGAGGTGTGATGCTGAAAATCACCACCAAGCCCGGCACCCGATCACCGACTTCTCTGATGACCCGTCCTGGGAGCAAACACAGCTATCTCACAACCGGTTCGTGATTGAGGGCATCGGCCAGAATCACGTTTGTGGCTTTTACCAAATAGTCTGGATGATGTAGGCCCAACTTAGCATACGAAACAAGACTGTGTTTTACTTAAGTCCGATCCCACGTACAAAGCAGTGTGACTGAGGCCCCCTATTGGGACTACGTGGCTTTCATTTTGCTATGATTTGCCACTGCAGCTTACACAATGTCAACCTGGGACTAGCACAGGATGCTAATGGCTCGACCCTGTTCTTTGACTTCAATACTTAGTAAAGAAGCATTTGCTAAGATATTCAAATGCAAAGCTATGATCCCCGACAACACTTCATCTAAGAATGCTCAGGATGTTTTTGGTGGAGAATGGGTACTTTGGCGACCCGAGCGCCAATTCCTTGCACAAGCTCTTGGTTGTTGCCTTCCGCGATTTCAAGACGTTCCAAAGGCAGAAGGGTGTGACCTGCTCCCAAACCAAATTTGTGCCGAATTTTGTTACTCACTGGCACTGAGCAATGGGTTTCACATATATAACATGTAGGGTCTAGAGCATAGAACTGATTCTGCAACCTCGCCCCTGCCCTAGGTATGGAAGCCGGAAAAGCATGGGGCCCACATGGCTCACAAGGGATACAACGGCCGAATTATCGCAATGTGGCTTGGGGATTGCATGGAAAGGGCTTCTTACCACAGAACCACGAACGACCGTGATTTCGGGCAGTGGCTTCATGAGCGACATCAGAATGAAGGGAAACCCTGGCCGGATGATGATGATATACGATTCGCCCCTATCTGTGCAGCAATGATCCTTTGAAGCTATCCAGCAGAAGCCTTGTTGGTTTCATTTTAGCAGAATTAAACAAATTATCGCAACCCGATGCAACCCTAAACCCCGAACACTTAACTAAACCTTCAACAACCAAAGAACTGAGACCCAAATCCCCCGAGGCAATCGCTCTGCCAGTGGTTTGACGCCGTCGAAAGATTCCCCGTGTACCTGCTGCTCGACTTGGGTGTTCGTTGCTTGTGTTGAAATGAGAGGAGGGCTTAGCGGGATAAGGCTGAGGGTGTGTAGGGCCAATGCTTGTGCCCGGTCAGGACGACTGCACAAGCAGATGAAATCTACGATCACGGAATGCGGTATCTTAGATACCACAACTTGCTTTGCAAGCTCTCGATGAGGCCCATTTCTCGTGGAAAGCAGGATTCAGGGTATGAAGATCATGCCTCCCCGAATGCAACACACGAGGCTTGGGAAACTACATTGGCACATCCGCCCCAAAGTGCACGAAACTTGTCTGCATTTGGAGAGTGGCTTTCTTGAGTTGGATGGTTTCGAAGCTTTTGCCCTGCCTGCTAAGCCCTTTCATCATCAGCTGAAAGATGCCAAGCACAGACGAAACTTGGCTTGAATGCCGAATGCTTTGTCAAGTTGGGTGCTCCACAATTTCATAATGAGCAAAACTCTACAACCCAAGGTCTCAACATCCGGCTGCACCACACGTTTCGAGAAGAAGATGCTATGCGGTGGCTGAAAGGTGTCTGAGCTGATTTTGACTGAAGCACTGACTACACCGGAAGCCCAGTACTGATGAGGGATGATGCACCCCAAGGCGTTGCAGTCGCATGCGACAAGAAGAATATGGAATGCTCGATTATCAAGTACGCCCGTTTCCGCTTGGCGTCGATGCGCCGTCCCTCTAGGATGGCGGCCCTGAACTTGAGCGCATCCCGTAGACGCTAAAAAAGGGCGGAGGCGCACCGATTCGTGAACTCCAGGATCAGCTGCTGCTGCTGCTGCTACTGCCGCTGCCGCTGCTTAGTGATCCTTATCCCTTCTGCACCGAACCCTTCGACCCCGAAAGCAAGCCCGAAGCATCCCTCACCAGCTTACACTGAACGCCCCGGCCTCGAAAACAAAACCCTAAACATCCCAAACCAAAAACTTAAGCGTTTATGGGTAGAATCTAAGACCAAAGCTATTGGCAGTTATATGCGTGGGTTAGGTGTCTAGCGTGGGTTACTTAAACGCACCCGTTAAACCCGTGGTTTGGAAGCCTAGGGTATATATATAAATACTATGTATGCACAGGTATATGCCCTCTTTGTTACCTCAGTCGAAGCGTCCACTGCGAGAAGCTAGGTTGTGAGAGTGCAACCGTGGACTTTTCAGCTCAACAATTTTACCTATATATGCTCCACGTCCTAAACCCTCAACCCTGAACCCTATACTAAACTAACCCTAAACCCTAAACCCTACACATCCCCTGGTCCTTGAAGTAACACTCTACCCCAAGGGTTTCAATTGCGCGGCGGAGGTGCTAAACCAAAAAAGTTGAAGTCTCACTCTGGAAATTCCAAACTCTCCCTAAACCCCAAGACACCCTATGAACACTAACCAAACGCTCGTAGTAATAAGATCCCCTCATAGGTCCCCAAATTCTAGAATAACACGTCCCCAAAACCCAGTTCTCCGAGTTTTGAGGCCCCCATAGTTGCCGTCAAAGCGGCCGTGATGTGCGGGTGGTTCAACCTTAGCTGCTCTGGGGGTGGGGTCTCGTGGGATCACAGGGCTGGGGGTGGGGGCGAAGCGGGGGCTAATAACGAGGCTTTCGGGCTTAGGAGGGAAGAATGATGTACTCACAAGGGAATGAACAAACAGCAAGTGATGGCAAACTAGCAACAGGATTGCACAGCAAGATAGCAGCAATGGCTCCAGTAGTAGTTTCCGTGGTATCGGACTCTAGCTTCTGACTGGCTTAGCACTTAGATCTGCAGGCAAAACAATTGCACCATCAGAGCAACAAGGAGAGCCCGAATGTGTGAAAGAGTCAGAGCCCGGAGGACAGAAGGGCAGGTCGCAAAGGAAAGCCAACTAGGGTAGTAGTAGCGTGATTGTGATTCTCGCTGTTGCTAAACTTATAATCGTGATTGCAAGTTATCAAGTTATCACTATTCCACTGAAACCGTAGTGCGAGTGAAAATAGTATCCCTGATACGCTCGCACCCCGAATCCTGGAACTTGAACAAGCGGGAAGTATGCGGGGTTATAAGAAGGATCACCACAATTCGA